CACATTACCGCACAGTAGACATCTAACTGTCAGCACATTGACACTGAAATCGGTATTTCGATGATAACAAAAACAGACCTTAAAATAGAGCAAATTCCTCCACGTACAAACACCACCTCTCAATATGCTCTGGCTCCTGGGCTAAATATTATCGATCTATTCCAAGATCACCACATTAACAAATGGAAAACGTACGTTACAAACAACAGACCAGGCCAAACATGTCAAAGTCCCTTAAATTTAAATCAGTTTATTTTGGGGCCATTTTGATAAAGCCCCCAGGCAGCAATTGTCTTTCCAGGCAAGTACCATGCCTATGAAAGACCGCAAAACTACTGGCTAAGGTTATGCTCTAATAGCATGTCAAACCTGACAACAATAGCATCATTAAAAAACTCAAATCACTCTAAAGAGCTGCATTTGGTTTTGTCTAGTGCTCTAGCTTTAAACTGATTTGCTCTTTAAACCTAAAGGCTTCTTTTCCTACAGCCACCATATTGAGTGCTGTGGTTTTCTCATTCATTTCTCTACAAGCGATCCATCTTCTCCCTCTTATATGCTCTCTGCATGATTCTGCTTTAATATGTATGGGAGGTGGAATACAGCAACACGGACAAATGTTGTTGGCCTGTACACAAGCTAAAAATGCCCCGCACAGGCTGCACAGCTGAAAGCCACAAGCGCAGGCAGTGGAGCCGATCCAAAGACAGACCTGAGTGCTCACAGTGAATGACAATTCAGGTCACTGGAATCATGTGCCAAACTTTACCACGAAACAACGGTTCTGTGTTCTCTTCCTGAGTGTGGATGTTGTATAAATATTACTCTCTGGGAGGTTTCTGTGTCCCTGCTTAAGTATAGGAATGAAACCCAAGCCCCTAAACTTGATCCATACTTATTGTCTACGCCCATTCATTTAACCAAAATACCCTCCAAATGACATATATATAAATACACAAGCACACACATGTACTAATACAGATGTCAGTGAAACAGTAGAGGCATGCTCTCAGAAAGGCGCCTATCTGGGGAGCAGCAATATACTTCACCACAGCGCTGATAAAGCATTTCAAACTCAAAAGAGCACACAATGAATTTCAGACAGCATTCATTGTCTGAGATATTATCTCAGGCTGCAATTCATTTCAGTGTTCAAACTGAAAGCTGACACAGGAGCAAACAACCGGTGAAGAGGGCAATGCCTCTTCGTAGCCTAGCATTTTAGCACATCATACCACGGTGTGCATACAGACACTGCAAGTTTGATTTTGACTCTTTGAATGCAGTTCTATTACACTTTTCCTAAACAAGACGTACTGTCTTTTCAGAGCATAAACAACAACTAAGCTTGTCCAAAACAGTACAACTGCTAGAACTGTACCGAAACCGGCACAAAATGAATCTGAAATATCAATGTTTCCAGTGTCGCCGGTGTTTGAAATTCATAGCTGTTTGTGTTTCGTTTGAATTTCATTGCTGGGCCGCAGCCAGCAGGGCCGGGTGAGTGTAGAGGGCTGAAGAGTGAAATGAAACACTGATTGATTGAGAGACCACTCGGGGAACAGGACAACTCCACTCGAGCGGAGGTCACAGGAAGATAGGGATGCAGAAGGGCGGATGAGGGCTATGCAGACGGGGTTAGGAAAGATCCTGGATTAATGTCACATGTAGTGTAGAGGGCTGAAGTGTGAAATGAAACACTGATTGATTGAGAGACCACTCGGGGAACAGGACAACTCCACTCGAGCGGAGGTCACAGGAAGATAGGGATGCAGAAGGGCGGATGAGGGCTATGCAGACGGGGTTAGGAAAGATCCTGGATTAATGTCACATCCTGACCCCGGATCAGTTTGTATGGCACAAAACATGCCCTGATTATTCAAAGCACCAGAACTCTGCAAATCAAATGTCATTTAAACCACTTCAGATATATTCATGGGAAAAGAGTGGTGTCATGAGGACTTTTTTGTTTTACTTACCAGGTTCTGGTGGTGGTTCCTGTCGTGTGCCAATTCTCAAACCGCTCTCTGCATTTCCACCACAGAAAAGGCGGTTCCAATTTAGAAAACAATCAGTTCCACTTCAGCCCTAAAAGCTTGCTGGCCTGGAACCACGAAATGGTGCACATAAATGTCTTGTTGAGAAATGTCAAATATGATAAACTGTGCAAGACAGAAAAATAGTGTCAAGAAAATTGAGGAAATCTCCCTCCAACACATACAAAAGAGAGCACCGGTAGTTTACGCGTGTCTACTTTAATCTCTCTCAAACAATGACAGAAAAGAGTACCAGCAGTTACTGGCATGATCATAACCAAAGATGGCAGATTTCCATGCATGTTTCAGGGGGGAATGTGCCAGCCGAGTAACTGCCATTGAAAAGTATCAGAATGCCAACAGATAGCTTTCTCCAGGTACTACAGACTTGTCCCAAGCCAGGACTAACAAGAAAGGTAATCCAGGAACATGTCCTACTTGGCAAAATCACCGCAACAAAAGAGCGCCAAAAGGTGATTCTACACAGCAACATTTTGCCTCATTTTGAGAGACAGGAAGAAATGCAGAGAATTATAGCCGGAGTAGCAGTGGAGCATGCAAACAAGGTCTTTCATTTCAGGTGCTCTCTTTGGCAGCTTGAACGACCCCGCTTCTAGTCTGCCTTGAGGACTTGGGTTCAAAGTGTGGAGCGTGCTGTGAGGCGGCACGAGCTAGACAATTCCCATTACCCACGTCTTGCTCCCTGTCCTGCCATCTCGAGCCGATGCTCCACGAATACAAATAACCAAGGCCGTGGCTAATCCCCTTCTGAATGAATGCGGACGTGATGGCCACTGTCTCACTGCTGCAAAGAAATAGAAAAGGGCCTTTGTTTTTACGTGTGGTTAAGCTAAAAAAGAAGAGCTAAGCGAGTGACGGAAGGAGGGACACGGTTTTCTTCTATCCATCATGTTGATTACTCTCGCATTTGTCTGAGTGCCTGTCGCTCTGACGTCTCACAGGTTGTGGCGGCGGCAGAGCTGTTCCCAACGCAATGGCATTGTAATAGCCCACAGCAAAGACGCAACAATTAACCTTTTTATTACACGCCTGTAAGCCACAGCAGACGGTTCACGGTCTCTAAGAGAATAAAATGTGGGAGTGCAAACGAAGAAAGGCGACTTTTTATAAACTCACCTGAAAACAGAACAAAAACACCGCAGGCATTGTTTGTGCTGGCAATACAAATAAATCTGCACTTTTTCAGGGTATCAAATTTAACATTTCAAAGAAAAGAAAAATGCATTATCAGTTATATACAGTACATCCAGTGCATTACTGCAGACACATTTTATGCATCCAACAGTGGCTTCATAGACATCCATTGCCAGTGCATGCACGTATACGTTTGTGGAAGATGATGGTACTGCTGTATATGATTTATTGATGATCTTCCTCTCTTTGACTCCCAGAGAGCAAGGGTCGAGGGCCATACTGTGTAGCAAACCTGCACATACAGTACACAGAAATTTAATGGCTCAGAGTTTTCTATTTCAAGCTCAAGCTTAATGGAATTCTGTGTTATTTTTTTATTTAAATGTCAACTTTGTCACTAAGATTTCACTTAAAATTTCTTAAGGTAGAAAACCCCATCCTTATGCGGCATTACAATGAATGTACATATGCTAAATTTTATCTAGTTAGATATATGTAATACAAGTCATGTGCGTATTGTAAAATTAAATGATTCAATTTATCAACATGTTAGCAAGGCAAAGTTTAAACTAAGAACACAGAGTTACGCAACAAATATGGATAGCATAGCGCAGATCATTTGTTCTAGAAGTAATTTGTTGAGAAATGTTTGACTTTACATTTATTATACACATATTTTTGTTTAAGTTAATTTTCAAGGTAAAGTTAGATGCTATAGTTCAGCTTAATGTTCCACTGTCTCACCTACAAAAAAAATCTATTAAGTTCAAATATACAAGTATATAACTGTATACATTACTGTTCATTCACATTGCAATGTAAGCATTATAAACTATGTAAATACTGAAATATAGTACAATGAATCATTTGATCACTGCTCAATGTCTCCTCCAGTATCCGTGTCCTAAAAAAGGCTGAAGGGGCTCTGCTTTAAACTAGACAAAATGCAAAACTATACAGTCTGTTTCTCCAAGGAAAACTGTCTAGGAGAAACATTTGAGACATTATATACACTAAGTTGTGGCTTTCCATCTCTACGGGAAAATCCAAAAAAACAGTAGTGGGATTTTTGTTGAAACATCATTTAAGCTGTGCAGACTGTCAGAAAACCACACACTTTGGTCCAATCTGTCGCACAGCTGAGAATACCTCGCTAAAAAAGACCAATGAAAATTTCCAGCCTGCACTTCGCCGGTTTTCAAGAAATAATGAGCTTGTTCACTCAAAACAGACTTCCACGGGAAGAAAGACTCTTGAGCTACCTCAAAAAAGCATTTGCCTCTGACTTTTCAGAGCAAAACTCCTTCAGAGAGATTTTAGTGAGGTTACACAGTCAACTCTGCCAGACTGTAAGGGCTTGATGTAACTTAATTGCATTCCTTTTTTCCCCTCCAACAGCAAATTGAATTTCAGGGTAAGACCCAACTCAAACACCTCATAATCCCTGCTGCTTGCCTCCTGCAAATGAAACAAGGTCACTTTCATTTCGACTCAAAGGGCCCAATATAGCAGCAGCTGTACTGCCAAACATACCTGCTCTCACACATTTACAACAATGGTGCTGCATCAGCAGACACCCCGACTGACTTATTGAACTCCTCTGCAGGCAATATCGCTGAAGGATGAAGGCAGGACAGACAAACAGAGCTCTCTCGCTGTCATTCTGTCCTTACATTTATAACAACATGGGTCTTGAAGCAAAACCAGTTAAGAACCACTGCCCAACATGGGTCAATATATGGTGCATATATTACACAGTTTGTGTGAAAATGCTGCGTAGATGTGTGTATCACAACACATGTGGCTTACCTGCAACATTGAGTCTAGCTGTACGGCTTATGATGGTGCCCAGGTTGTCTATAGTGGCCACGCACTGGTAAACCCCCTCATCGGGTTTATTGTGTTTAGAGTGGACCACTGAGCTGATGAGCAGAGAACCCTCGGCCAGGACCTGCCTGCGATCGTCCGAGGCCAGGCTGAGGAAAGAGCCGTCTTTCTTCCATTCGATCTTGGCAGGAGACTCGTTGTGGACTGAGCAGTTGAGCAGCGTCGGTGCTCCTCGCACTGCCAGCGTATCTGACGGCTCCGTGGAGAACCGGAATGGGCTGAAGTTCCTCACTGCTGATCCTACAAAGAAAGAGGATTAAAATCAGCCCTGGATTTCTCATCATAACACAATACGATGAACTGAAATTAGGTTGAACTTTGGGTTGAGGGATTGAATAACAGAAGGTATTTGCATCATTGCAATAAAATTCTAATTAAACACGGGCCATGGCTTTAGAATCCAAATATTTAATACAATACAACATTTGTTCATCTTAATATTTCATTTATTCTCGCATTTGAGAGCCAAACACATCCATTCAAATGTCAAAACTTTATTACTAGTGTCCAAAAATGACCAAACATTGCGGTAAAGAGGGGATAACACTTAGCGAATGCATTATAAATCATTTTAATTATAAACGTAAAATTACAAACACAGCCCTTGGACTTCAGGACATTCATTTGAATATCTTGTTATGTTGCTCTCTCAAAAAGAAACGAGGGTTAGAACTGACAAGTCTAATGCAAAAAGTCAAACTAGGCGCAATTACTTTGCATTTGTCCTCATAAATTATTCAAATCTTGGCCTCGAGAGTCATCAGGACTTTGTGTGGATAAATAACTTGAATCATCTGTACTTCTTGGATGGGAAATGAATAATGAGCTTTTTAAGGCTTTTTTAAATACTGCACCAAGTGATGAGGCAAATGCTAAATATAGCTGGAAGCAGTTGAGACTGGTTTATGGCGAGTCTGCAAAGAGATGGCATGACTGGGGCCAGCACAAGAACCAAAAGTCATCATTCTGCCATTTTAACTCAAGGGTTAATGTCTGGGATCACTGCTAATGAGGACACCCTTCTCCCCTCTTTAACTCGAAACTGAAGCTATGTTGGAATCACATACTGCCAGTGAGTGTACATACTGCATTTGATTAAGAATTTATTTGGTACTGCAAGTAAATACTACAACTGCTGCATTGATTTCAGAGAGCTTTCAGGAAGGTCACTCTCTTTCTAAGAACGCTGTAAAAAAAATCTTTGTTTTTTACATTGACACTTCATCACCAAAAAAAAAAAAAAGTTTAGAATTTTAAAGAGTAACTACAGTTCACTTTGATACATACATGAATTGCCCAGTGAGAATCTTAGAGAGGCGGGTCCAGTGGTGCCATCCAAATCCACTTTTCTGTTTTCCAGCTTGATTTAAAACCAATTCAGCTACTTGAAAATTACAAGCAGGTGTTTTGGAGCAGGGTTGGAATTAAAGTCTGCTGGAAGACAGTCCTCCAGGAGGAGGGTTGGCTACCCCTGATGAAGTGTCTAGTGTGTAGACGCGTTCCAAGATGTGTCATATAATAACACAATTCTTAATGCAACCCAACTATTCCCTACTCACTCCTAATGGCAGAACCCTTGAAATAGGGACTTTTGAGGAAGCAAGGCAATTGTGTCTCATAAGGCTGTTTGGAATGACCTTCAGTAACGACCATGTGGGAGGAAACTGTGAGGTAATTATGTTGCTTACTTTCACTTGGAACGACCCTTCATGTGGCGACCACTTCACACAGTGCCCTTCAAGGGGGCAAAAACGTTGTTTGGAATTTGCCCTACAGTGTCTCTTTAAGGACACCTACTGTCATGAAGAAGTAAGAATTTCACAAAAGAGAATCTTGCTGAGCAAGTGAAAGTTAGTTGAACTGTTTACATGTTTGTTGCCGCCTACCTGAATAATCAATTTATGATGTTATGCCGTATCGAAAACTGTTTCTGTGTCCAAGCCTCTACTCACTTTCAAGTGAGAACGCTATCTCAACAGCCATTTATGAACACTATTTTTATAGCGCACCTTAAAGTACACAGCATTCCCCGGGCTCACTATCAAGGACACCAATATTTTAACGACACAAAAAGGATGAATCGCTGTCTGGCAAACTGATATTTCAGTGTGGAGATAAAAGTTAGGCTCATGATTTTTTGGCAGTAGCTACTACAACACAATGTGAGTGTATAATAACAACGTTTGTTGTTGGCTTTTGGAACCTGATAGAGCATTTGGACCCGGAAAACAAAGACACGCAATGTCAGACTTAACAACTGGATAACTTATCTGGTTTAATGGCACATTTGAATGTAACGTTACTATTGAACATTCATAAGCATTAATGCTGCATTTGTGTAACCTATACATAGATTAGCCATTAGCTACCACAAATGGCTTCACTATGGCCCATCCACATAGTGGAGGCATATTTCCTATCCCACATGGTTTTTAAAGTCTCCTGTAATGGAGTTTGGGGGTGTTGGTCAGATAGGAAGTATCGGGGTCTGTGGGTAGTAATTGTGGTCAACCCTCTGTCCACTAAGAGAGGCCTCCTGGAACCAAACACTTAGGTTTATGTGCTGACTCGCATTTGGACTTCTATAGAAACAGCACAGAGAGCTTTACAACAGCTGCTTTTGTTGGCTGAACTGCTATATAAGATAATTGCGCTCTGGCAAATGTTAAGCTTTCCTCGAATAGTTTCCTTAAGACTGATGCGAGGCAACAATTGTTCCAGCATAAACACATCTGGATTAGATTAATTCCTGTAAGATAGCTGCACTTTCTGTTCACAAACATCATTTGCACTTCATAGTCCAGAGGTAACTGTTATATAGCTTTCAACAAAGAATTTCAATAAAGTAATTGTGTTTATAACATACACCAATAAACTCTGGTGTATAGTGGGCTCTAAATGTCTGAGACCACTAGGTCTAATGTTAGGTCTAAAAACTTGAGTTAATTAAAATATTTACATGAATTTCAGGTACAATATGTCTCCCTTCTAATGATATCAGCACTTAAGCTGATATAAACTCTAGAAATGTCTGGTGTGCTTCAATGGAAGGAAATCTGACCTAACCTGAGAAGTTCAAATGGTCAATTTTACACATTTGCTTATGATTACAGTGATCTAGAATTTGTATTTTTTTTTGCTCAGTGTTTAATGTTTTTCAAAATCCTACAACTTGGGATTTCTATCCATATGAACTGTTCATATCCAGACTTAAACGAGAAAAATGCTAAATAAACCAAGCTGAATAAACTTGTATACATGGTATGTTGGTCTAGATCAAGGGTGCCCAAACTCGGTCCTGGAGGGCCGGTGTCCTGCAGAGTTTAGCTCCAACCCCAATTAAACACACCTGAACCAGCTAATCAAGCTCTTATAGGCATACTAGAAACTTACCAGCAGGTGTGTTGAGACAAGTTGGAGCTAAACTCTGCAGGACACCGGCCCTCCAGGACCGAGTTTGGGCACCCCTGGTCTAGATGCTTAGTGTTGTCTTAAACTGAATTTAAATGAGCTTAAGGTCGAATTTTAGTATCTATTAAGTATCTGAATCCCTGAGCAACTGAACGGTTTACAGGTATCTGTAGTTTTAGTATGCACACAATATATCAGCGATCATATCAATATTGTTTAAGTTTTTCAAAATGAGGAACATTTTTTAATGTAGTCCAGAATGTTTGGCCTCTACTCTATACTTAAGTACCATGGTATTACCATTCAATACTATCACTATACAATGTTACCACCATAGTACTCTTTAGTATCTATCTTTTAGTATATAGTATCTATTAGTATCTAAACCACTGGGCTATTTGAGCAGTTTACATATATCTGTAGTATAAGGATGCACAATATATCAGAGATCATATTGGCATTGTTTTAAATTGTTCGAAATCCTAAAACTTACGATTTCAGGATTTCACATAAGGAACTGTTCATTTTCAGATTTAAATGAGAAGAAAGCCCAGATTAGTCTCAGGTGTTTGGACCCCACTATATATTAAAGTACTATGGTATTACCATCCAATACAGTCATTATATCATGTTACCACCATAGTACTTTTAATAAGAAACAGAAGAATGCATAGGTAAATACACAGTAATCAAGGGAGATCTCAGTGTCTTCTACAGATGGAGAGGTCTGTATTCCACTGTTGAGACGGGAATTCCACCCTGCAGCAGAGCATCAGAAGATCAGCATACTTAATCATTAGCATGTTAGCGGCTGTTTGGATCGTGCACAGAGGTGTGCGATACAGCTCGTCCAGCTACCACTTCACCATCAGCTACAACTGATGACCATCTGCTGCTGCTCAGACCTGCATCCCAGAGTCCCACAGTAAAGCTGATACTGACACCACATTCATGGTCTCCTCCTTTTCAGCAATTTTCAAAGCTCATTAAGCTTTTCTGCTACACATCCATGAGCCATAGCAGGGACAAAAAAACTACTTCAACATACAAATAATCTATACTCCGTTTCTTGCGATTTTCTTTCGTCTGTACATTATAATGTTTTAATTTCTTTAGTAGCATGTAATTCACAGTTAAACAAAACAGAACATTATTAGATTTATAATATTGGCAGCAATATTAGCCATAAATGATTTGTATCACCCAGAAATTGTCTATTTCAGTGCATCCTATACTAGTCCAGTTTATTTGAATTTGGTACAACAGGGAATTTCCACAAACATGCAAATATCAGTGGCTCTTGTAATGAGTTTCTCGTTTAGTTTACAAATATTTATTCTCGGGATTTAAAACTGGCACCATATTTATCATTTAATGGGCTCAAAACACAGAGGAAAACGTGCAGCATAGACCAATTACACAATCTCTTTAGAGTCACTTGAAATTCAGATTAGATACGAGGACTCTGTGGCTGTGAATGATTTTAAATACTAAGCAGGTCAGAAGAATATTGGATTTTCACAGGAATATTGTCATCGAAATTATGAATAATGAAAGAGAGAACAATCTTGACCATCCCTGCTGAAGGATAAGGAATATTTCTAAAATAGGGCCCACTAATTTGACCACCTCAATGATTTTGAACTTGTCAAGCCCAGAAAGTATATAGCACATCAATAAAATCTCATGCTAACAGGAAATAGATTTAAATAACACATTGCTACCATGGTATTTGTCCAAAATACATATTTGTATGTTCATATATTTTTGTTATTGACTTAATAGAGGGATCTTTGGTGTCAGGAAGCAGGCAGAAGTCTAATCTATTC